GGTACCACGTTGGGTCCCACGAAGAGGTGGGCAATTATTGAGGCTGCCGCCACCCCCCCACGCATACAATTATTGGGGTTGCTGGGAAGGTGGCGAGAAATTTCCTTCCTCGGCTCGGGAAGGCGGACGACTCCCTCGTCTTGCCCTCTCCGTAACGACGGGCAAGAGATCTCTTCCCCCCAGCCTCTCTATATATCCTCTCTCTCTCTCCTCTCTCTCAGGGCACCTGCAGGGCACCACGTGTGTTCAGCTTCGTTTCATATTCCGCCATTTGCCTCCAATGCCCCCCCACGTGGGTTTGCGGGGCAGAGCCCCCACGTGGTCTCGGAAACGGAATATTTATTTATTTAGAATTGCAGGTGGAATCCGATGAACTGGAAAGCTCTTTTCTAATCGTCCAATAGGGGGCACGGGGTATGAACGTCACAACAACAAGCAGGAACAAAAAACACGGAAGTTGTGCGAAGTACAAGAAAGGTAAACATCACCCCAAAAGATAAAACAAATAAAACTAAACCATCCCCATCCTACCAGGCAATGCCCACTGAGGTATAATAAACTTACTTTTCAGAAACGACCTGACCATCACAAATGATAGCTTCAACAAAGTGGCCCAGCATTTGGACATTTATAACAGGCAAAATAATCTAAACAATCTTAATGCATGCGGGCCGGAGGCCTCACTTCCCATCAATGTCGCTTGCGTTTGGGAATCAGTTGTATTGGATGTAAAAAATATACATAAAATAAAAAGTTCACCACATATTTCCGCCCTCCCCCCCCAAAGAAAAATTACAAAAAGTGAAGAAAAAAAATGTGTTTCAAACACTTGTTTGGTCAACTCCTGAGCTGGGATAAAACTAAAACACGCACACACACGATTCAAAACGTTGAATTGCTTTAAAATAAATGTTGTTTTCCAACACAGATTTAGCGTGAACACGGAAAATCGTCATTAGATTATTTCTATTTTCTTAGAATAGTGATCTGTTTATAATCTGTTTACTTGCGCGTGTGCTTGCTGGTCCGCCAGCGATTCACCTGACCCTTGATGAGTGAGGAGGAGAAGGAACGAGCCGCAGGTGATAATTATCTCACGGAGCGTGCGAGAACAAAAACAATGTGAGAATGAGCCATGGCCAATCAGCCCGCGGAATAATCGAGTCGTTACTGCAGTGCCGTATTGCCAAAAAAAGTGATGTAATTTGCAATTAATTAAAACGTTAATAAACTCGCGTACATAATTAGTAATCGGGCTTTTTCTCAATGAATTCGCATGTTTGATATGGGCCCCGGGTGCAAGCAATAAATTGTCGGCCCCTGTACATTTCCACCCTCTTTGCAGCCCGGGGCCCCTTCAGCCATGCTCCCCCCAGAAACATGCTTTTAGATTCTTCAAGATGATTTGTCTGCTATACATCTCCACATGATAAGCCACTTTGTTGAGCTATCGTTTGTGATGGCCAGGTCGCTTCTGAAAAAGAGCTACATAGCTCAGTGGGTCTTGCCTGGCAAAATAAAAATAATTGAGTTTTATTTGTTTATATTGTTTTCGTTATGTATTTACCTTTTCTATACTTTGTACTCCTATCGCGTTTCTGTATTGCTTGCTGTAACGTTCTGACCCTATGCCCCTCCTGGAACATCTGTGAAAAAAGAGCTTTATAGATAATCGGATTCCTTCAATATATATTCATATTCTGGTAGCACCCGCCTGCCCACGCCGCTGCTTCTCAATCGGGAACCAAGCTGTGGTTCAGATAACAGTGATAAGCAGGTTGTCCGAATATGAGTCACTCCGGCGATGGATGAGCCAGTGCCCAGATGTTGGTCGCCCTTGAGTGTGTGTCGAGCGTGAGTTCGCACGTGCACAGACCATCCCGTGTGTCAGTCCATGCGGGTCACGTTGGTTATTTGACCTTTTGTTTCGCCACATCCACCCGCCCTCCCGACTCGCCACACTGCAGGTCACAAACACTTTCCTCTCTGAATCGTCTTTGGAATTCACTCCCAACGTCGCTCTCTCCCAAGCTCCTACAATGGGGTGCCACGGTGGCTAGGAGATGTTAACCACGTCGCCTGGTATTCAGGAGGTCGTGGGTTCGATCCCGATCCCGATCCCGACCCTGGCGCCTGCTGCTGTATATTTGGAGTTTGCGTGCCTCTCTCCCCGTAGTCGCGTGGATTTCCTCCGGGTCCTCCGGTTTTTCCCTCCTCGTTTAGAAACATGCGTTTAGAGTATTTGGATGGCTACACATTTCCACGTGATAAGCCACTTCGTTGAGCTATCATCTGTGGCCCAGGTTGCTTCTGATAAAGAGCTATATCGCTCAGTGGGCCTTACCTGGCAAAATAAAAAATAGTTTAATTTAATAACCTTGCTCATTTCAAGAAACTCGTAGCCTCTTATCTATTACAGCTTTATCACAAAATAATCGTGGCTGTAGATAATATGAGTAACACAATTAATAAGCATATTACGCCTCCTTCACACGTAAACGAATATATTCATATTTTTTTACAAACTCCATCGGCTACGCCACCCTGAGAGTGTGTACATCTCAGCAGCATTCGTTCAACACAGGACAACTCTGGATTGGTTTCGACATTTAATGTCTCATCAGGCTTGCGTTTAAGGCAGAGTCCAAAGAAACGGTACAAATCCGCAATAGAGATTTTCGGGTTAGATCGCGTAAATATAAATGTCGTTGAACCCGCCACGACCCGACATAGCCAATTAGTAAGGTTTGCCACGTAAAAAAACATGCCAATTCATTACTTGTATAAATATATATATATATACAATTATTAACAACATGAAGGAAGTTACTTTACAAAAGTGATGAATGTGAAGATTTGGAGAGGGGGGGAGGGGAGGCACATCCAACCATCTTCTGCAGAGCCAGAGAGCAGCAGGGGGGAGATTGTCCGGCTTCCAGGTGGGAGATTGCGCCTCGCTTAGCAGTGCCATGAAATACAGTCTATCCTCAATCTTGTTTTGGCTTGAGAAATAATAGATTTTACCCATTCTGACAATACAAACAGCAGTTTTGTTATATAGAGGCGTAGATGTGAGGACCACACTGCGCTCTTGTGCAAAGTTGGGGGGGGGGGACGAAACACGAGGACTTCTCCACAAATCTGGCTGTCGCCTGATGAAGCTGGTTGTAATTACTGGCGAAACGTCGTACTCAGATTGTAAATGTTGTGGCTTGGCTCTCCAACACACAACCGGTGTGCTGTACTAGTGACGAATTGGCCACGTTCTGTTTACGTGACAACCCTTACTAGTTGGCTGTGTCGGGTGGTGGCGGGTTTAACGACACATTTATATATTTACGCGATCTCATCCAAAACAAACTATTATTACGGATGATATTGGTCGGGAAAGCCTCCTACTCGGTGTTAAACTTGACCAGGCCGATCGGTGCGGGCTGGCAACGGCGGGGGTGCATCGGCGTGGGGACGTCGTACAGCAAAAACGATGGATTTGGCTGCATTGCGTCAATGTGTAAAGGGTTGAACGGAGCTCCTGTGGGTAGCTTCGATCCCGACTGCGAGCCTGGGGTGAGCATTACGCATTTGCTGGGTCTGCGCCTCCGTTGTGGAATTCCCTGCCGTTGGAAATTCGTTGAACCGACAATTTGGTTACTTTTAAGTCGCGTCTAAAAACGCATTTTTCTCAAGTCCGTTTATTCTATTTAGCTGCTTCTTCTCTCTTGGCCTTTTTCTTAATCTTACAATGCGCCTTGAGACATTATTGGAAGGCGCCTTACAATTACATGTTAATTATTATTACTGTATATATAGCCAAAGAGGTTATGCTCAACACAAACAATGGGTCGCAAAACGGATTGCCAAAGGCTAACAATAAAGTGCGGTCAGAATTTCCGACCACTAAAGCGGCATTGGCAAAGACAACTGCCAACATAGTATACATATTTGTTTCGGAACAAGTTGTATCAGAAACTGTATTTATACTGCAGGAGGAATCCGATGAGCCATAAAGCTCTTTTTTTACAGATGTCCAGTCGGGGCACGGGGTAAGAACGTTACAACAACAGACTGTACAACAACAGGATACGAGTGCAAAGTACAAGAAAGATTTTAAAAATCACCCAAACACAAACAAATACAACACGAAACCATCGCCATCCTACCAGGCAAAGCCCAATGAGGTATCCACCTAATTTGTTCAGAAGCGACCTCTGGCCACAAATGATGGCACAACAAAGTGACCCCATCATTTGGACACATCGATCGGAGATGACTTGAAGGTGGCGAGTGTCGTGAGTGGCTAGCATGACGCACGCCTGCTCTAGAGGCTGCTACGGCTTCGTCTCCACCAAAGCTCGTTCGTTGGGAGATCGCGAAATACTGAAATCGCCACAAGTGTGGCATGATACGTGCATTGCTTTTGTACGATTCGCCTTTTGGCGTTCTCTGGTCTGACACCGGTGAGACTAGGCCATTAATCGAAGGCTGTCTCTGGTGTAGGCCAATCAGTTTCAAAGCTAATGCGTATATTAATTATCAGAGCATGTTTGTATGTTTTGCCACAAGTACGTGTGGTTAATGCAGAAATTGATGTCTTGCAAAAGGTATCTCTTTGGTGTTTGAACCTCGTAAGGCCTGTTTTCATTGACAGAAAGGGTAAACACCTATTCTTATTTTTCATCATGTTGAACTTCTTTCACACCGTACTTAGCCAACCGTGCTAATGGGAGGTGCGAGGGAAGGACAACAATCTAAACACAATAAGCAGTTCTAAAGAAACGAGTTTGTCAATCCAGATGATGATTTTAAATGTGCCATAGCTCCAGTGGCTTTTTTCCTAACATCGGAAGGAAGAGCGCATTCCAGACGGCCGCAGGAGCGCGTCTGAAAGCGCCGCGCGATGCGGTGACCACCACCGTCGTTCGATGGCCGAGCCTGGTGTTGTTGTTGTACGGGACAATCACAGCAAAGTAAACAAAAAACGATACCACGGACGACGTTAGTTTGAGAGTGTAATCACGTGTTTATTTTCACATTCGTGCTTGTAAGCAAGTGACGCTTACACGCAGCAACGCACTGCCCACACAATAGCGGCGATACGTTGAACAAATAGCCCCTCGTGGCAAGTCAACACTGCCGTGGAGAGCCTGGACCCCGCCATAGGAATGTGGAAAGTCCCACCACCGGCTCCGGTCCACGGAGAGATGTTGACGACCACTCCATCGACAACCGCGCTCGTTTGAGCAGGAAGTCATGTCTGACGTTTGTCCCATACTCTGGCAGATGCAATTTTATTTATTTTCTTGTGGTCATGATCGCGCAATGATTCCAGTAAAGTGCAGCTCTGTCGCATATCCGACTCGCAGGCGGGATGTGTAAAAAATCAACAACTATCAGATGCGTGAGCAATCTATAGTAGACGTTCACAGTGTGGAAGAGTAGGCCAAATACTAAAGAACTCCGTCTCTCTCTCTCGAGGGTATTTGGATGGCGTTCTCCCAGAAGCGTCGTTGAGCATCTGGAGGGGCTGCGTATTTGTTTTACCCCCCTGATGTGCAATGAGTGACACCACCACCACCATCGTTGCACATGCTCTGCACTGGATGCGGATGGGTTAGTAATGGGCGAGCGCGCGCGCGTGCGGTGGTCCGATATGCGACGCTGTACGGGGCCTCCTAAATGTCAACGGAGGCGATGGGTGTACCTACCGTCTTGTGCCAGCCACCTCGGTGCGCATCCCATTCCCTGCCGCTGAGCGCGTGGGGGAGCATGGCACCCGGCAACTGCGAACCTGGCCACCCGGGTTCGATCCCCGCTCGCGACCGCACGACACCTGCGGCGATGAATCTGAACCGGTCCCGGGTTCCTCCGCCCCCCTAGGTCGAACTGGTGCAGTGGCGGTATCGTAAACGTGGCCACAAAGGGAGACAAAGGCGGCCCGGCGTGGTGCTGGCCACCCAACCCACCCCCCTCGCTAACAGCACTTGCCCCAACAGTCTGTCAAGGCTATACGGGGGGGGGGTAATCTTTTGTCTTTGTGTGTCCCCCGCGTGTCCTCTCCGGCGTGCAGAGGGGGGGGGCAGGCGGCAGGGGCTTGCGGTCGGTCGCGGCGATCCTCCGGGTTGACGCGAAGCAGTGGGAAGCAGCAAGAGAACCCTTACCATTATTGGTTACAATAATGGTAACGGTTTTATTGCCACTCCCCCAGGGTCGTTCATCTTCTTGAGCTTCTTCCCTCCATTCAAGGGCCCCCCCCTCGCCCTCAGCCCAATACCGTCATGCCATGTTACACGTGTAATGCGTATTATAGGCCGTCGTGGGTTCGCTGTGCTCTGATAGACACATTCACCACTCTTGCAGAGATAACAAAAACCAAAAATCAATTAGAGAGCGATAAACATGCTGGTGGACAGGTGCCATCGAGATTGTGGAGAGTCATCGAGTGTTCGTCTCTGCGTCTCCACTGACACGGTGTTTCCCCACCTGAGTAATGTGCAGAGATATATCAATCAGCGAATATATCAATTACTTTACAGCGAAATCGATTCCAAAAAAAACGAATTACAACATATCCATGTTGGGCAACGGTTAGTTTTTTTTTTAGTTTAAAATATCTTCTACAGAATGAATACGTTTGCTTCTATATACAATTGAGCACACACCATTATTTTTGACAATTCTCTAAAGTGCAATTCTCATTCTCAGTTGTCAATCGACTGCCGGTCATCCTACGTCTAGATTTGGCCCTCAACTCTGGAGAAGACTACGGGAATATCCACGACTGGCTCCGAGTGAACGCCCGCTCATCGGGAGGAAACCCTTTGACTCTTGACTCGGGGAGGCGACGCCGTTCGTGGGCCTCGCCGACGCAGACAAGGACATAGCCCTCCGCAGCACATCATATATACTGTAATGGTTCAGCAGTGATTTACAGTATAGTATGATATCCTGCACAGACGTGCTAGTCGGGAAGTCCCGCTTGTGGCCCATGTCGAGGCCAGCGGCGTGGAGTGTGCCACCCGCCGTGCCACCCGCCGTGCCACCCGCCGTGCCACCCGCCGTGCCACCCTCTGCGCGTTACCTAAACGAGACAAAACGAGACGACGCGGTCTGAACGCGCGAAACATCGAGCCGCGCTGAAGTTTTCGATCGACGGACACTCGGCTGTTCGCCACGTCGAATCCACATGGGACCGCCATAGGGCCTCGTTTCTCACTCGATATATTTTCGTATCCTACCCGGGAACGCTGCTGACTGGCTGGCTTGGGAGTAGCGATTACCGGTGTAAGGCACTACCACTAAGAGCACAAGGTACGCCTATTAACAACAATCCCATATTATTATGGTACACCTCTAATCCTACAAGTAGGTTAAGGGATATATGAGGCAGAAGGGGTGTGGATGGCGCTCCTGACTTAATGAAGCGCTGCTAGGAGGCAAATAATCCCCAACTGGAGTGGCTTGAAAAGGACTGAAAATGAGTGGCGGGAAATTTGAGTTGTCGAGGAAGACGCTGATAATAATCAGTTGCACGGGGGAAGAAATTGGGGGGTGACATGGCGGTTAGAGGGGGGGGCGCAGCAAAAGGAATGTGATGAGCAAGATACGAATGAATGAATGAATGATGCTGTAGCATCCTCTATTTGGTGAGAACGTATCGGCCATTTCCCGCATTACCGGCAGCATGACAAAGAAACCCCAAGACCGTGTTCGCTTAATGCAGCGGCCATGAATCGCGACCAAAAGTTCGGCAAAGTCCAGCCGTAGGCAACAAAAAATTAACCCGTAAAAACAAAGTTTTTCACTCTAAATCCTTTATATGCGTGGTGGCTAGAGTCCTCTCGTCCTCTGGCTTGAGATGGCTGCCACCTATGGGTCAGATGATTGCCTGCCACCATTAAGCAATTGGTAATTAAATATTAAAAAATCCAAAAAAGTGTAACATTTTCACGAAAATAAATTTTCACGCACAACGAGTCTGTGTGCAAAATGTCAGCTCGATTGGATCACGGGAAGTGGGTTAAAAAACGACCGAAAGATTTGCAAGGTCGTAAGCGTGCAAGCAAGCAAGTAAGTGAACTTAATATAAAGGATTTAAAAAATGGGGAAACGCGAGGTTGTGTTGTTTTTTTTTTAAAACCCCGCAGGTACAAAAGGCGCGCGTCGGTTTGACTCGTGATTGGAACGTGTTGTAACTGTCGGGAAGGACACGTTACAAACTTGCGGTCATTTCCCTTCCAAGTCTGATCTTGCATCACGGCATTTAGCCCCTCTCTCTCTCTCCACCGGCATGCTCGTGAAATTAATGTCGCCGGTGTTTTAGACTCACAGGTTTAATTTTTTTTTTAAACCTTAGTAACCCATCTCGAGTTCATTATTGAACTCGGGATGGGTAAAAAAAAACTAATACAATTACACCCCAATCAACATTCGGAAAAGAATCCGTGCTGGAGAATGATGAACCGCACTTTCCAGCACATTCGCCGACTGTGCCTGAGCTTTATTTATTGCTTTATCCATTCAAGCTTGAGGCCACTTGACCGTTTCTCGAAGGCTTTGAACGCCTGAAATTCTCTGCGGATTGTACCCGGCCCTTGCCCGATCGGTGACGTTCGCCTTCTTCACCTGTCAATGGCCGCGCGTTTCTGTGATCCGCGCACGCGTGAGCTGGGGGGGGGGGGGGGTGCGTTTTTGTCAATTGGTCATTCTGCTCCAAAAAGGGGGTCATGGTAAGCCGGGGTCAATTGCCATTCCAAGTTAAGTAATTCTCTCCTGCAGAACATCTGAACGTAGAGTACTTTCCATTCAGGCTGAAGCCACGAGATATATCTACACCGGATGGAATGGCAAAGCGTGATTGTCGTATGTGCCGTCGTAATGATAGTGATGGCCAGCATTTGGCAATCCACTGCTGGATGAAATGCCTCCCCCAACACGCCTTACTGGCCATGGGGGTTGTTGAACATACTTCACCATGCCGGTCAATGTGGGCTGGTGAAGTGGGCCGATCGGGGGGGGGGGGGGGGGGGTCGCGGTTTTGGGTGGGGTGGTAAGGCCCGGGACTAGTTTGAATAACACTCGCCACTGATGTTAGCCCTGGTCAGGAATCAAACGCTGAGATGCCTTAAATTAATTACTTTTGTTCCAAACAAAGTCGGGGGTGGGGGGCATCACTTTCCCATTCCACCCCATCTCTGAGGGTAAAGTTCTCGTAATTACGTGGCATACAAACCGCTATTTAAAAAAAATAATGTGTGAAACCAAATTTACCAGCGATGGGGGATCATTATCGGGCCGCCGGATTCGTAGTACGGTGCGCTAACCACTGCGCCACCACTCCCCACTGTACTATAGAAAAAAATCAAAGATCCCCCATATAGCTTTAACAGACTGTTGGGGCAAGTGCTGTTAGCGAGCACCTATGAAGGGTGATAAGGCGCACTAGAGAGTGGGTGGCCAGCACCACGCTCGGCCACCTTTGTTTCCTCAGTGGCGATGTTTGCACACCACATCGGTTACTCATTTGAGGCCAAGTCGACCTCGGGGAGGCCCAGAACCGGTTCAGATAATCGTCACCGGTGTTTCGAACTCGGGTCGCCGGGTTTGTAGCACGGCGTGCTAACCACTGCGCCACCACGCCCCACTGTACTATTTAGACACACACTATTAAAAGCAAAGTGCGCGGACTGCATCTCGCTTGGTTCGTGCGTTTTGAGGCGCGAAAAGCCACACCAGGAAGAAGGGCGGCTAACCGCTGAAATGTCACTTGTGCAGCCGTAAACACAATTTGATTTTTTAAAACACGTAAAGCGGAGGAATTGCAGGACGGCGATAGTTTTGTGTCCGACGGACGGGAAATGTTTCTGTGAGCCCCGGTGAGAGCCCCGGTGAGAGCCCCGGTGAGAGCCCCGGTGAGAGCCCCGGTGAGAGCCCCGGCGAAACGTGGGCCAAGACCTGGAGCAAGGGCTGCAGGAGAAACACGTGCACACAATCGCAAAGCACGGAAATCCCGAAATAAGGCGTAATATCAGTTTAAGAGAATTTACAGTGGAGCAGTGGCGTGCCGTGGGTTTTTGGGAGCATGCCCCCCCCCCCCCCCCTCGTGGTGGAAGGAATGAAAATTAAATTTGGAACCTGCTGTCCGATTTTCCCCCTCCCTTTCCTCCTTCTTCGTAGCCTGGGCCCCTCCGGCGTGTAGGCCCCACCGGTGCAATTACACCGCCCTCGATAGCTTACGTGCCCCATGCAGTGGAAAGTATCTACACAGATCAGCAAGAAGTTTTTGAAAAATTACAACAAAGATGAAGATTAAGTGAGGTCGAAGGTGGCACGAGAGAGGAAGCCGGTGTGCACGGGGCGAGACACGTGTCTACGCTGGCCCAAGGGTGGCCTCAGGAACCACGCATCCTCATGTGCACATAAGCATGGGACAATGCACGCGGTGGCTGCGTCGTTTAGAGACCATATTTCCATGACAAATCGTCTTTTTTGATACTCGGAGAAAATGTTACTTTCATGGATCTCAGTACATAACGGAAATTTGCCATTTAGTTCCTCAACATATTTGCCATACGCAAGGAATGGAATGAAAGTTGATTACACTTTGTACGACAATATTTTGTTTAAAAAAAAGCAGTGGAATTTAACTATTTTGGTTCCCAAAAGTTTGGGGATTTTTTTTTATGAGCAAGCGGAGTCACTTTCTAGGCATCGAATTCGGTGGAAATATTTTCGTTTGCCATCTGCGTTTACGAGCAAAGTTTTATTTATTTCGCCGTTGTAAATTTTTACAAAAAAATTACGGTCCATTCCCAGCAACGTTCGTCAGAAAATGTTAACTGCCGACTTCTGACGATTTAATTCGAGAATTTGAATGTTTTGTCTGTTCTCACGACCACCGTGACGACGACGATGATTCACGTTGTGAGCGGTGCTCACTCGCCACACCGCGTGGCATCTGGAGCCATTTTTTGTGGCGGCGGTGAACATTTCTAGCACGTGGTGGCTCCAGTGTTTGGTTACAAAAAAATATTTCCACCACATTTTTAACTTAATAAATGTTATAAACGAGAATAAGAGAAATGCGTGTTTATGTTTCACGTCATATGGAGGTCACGGGGTAAAAAAACAACCAACCCAATAATTATTTTTATTTTACATAACAAAAATGTTTTATCAGCTCCACCACATTTCCCCTTTTTCACTGCAGTACGTCCATGCAGACCGTAGCTACCGTGCATAAGTACACTTCAAGGGGTCGGACTACATCGCGTTGTAAAAATGACCGAATAAGACGAAACTCCGACAAGTTCAAAAAGACGATCGTTTACCTGTGTTCGATGAATTCTGGCGACGACCGGCGAGGGGCCTCGACTTGATGTCCCCTTCTCAAAAGTGTGCCCGGTGAGAGACGGCCACAGTGGGCACGTGCTTAAGTAACCAGCGCCGGAGACGGGGACGTCGCTGGTTGGCTGGGTGAGAGGGGCAGGCAGGGCAGGGCAGAGGAGGGGCAGGGGGGGAGGAGGGCAGGGGCGGGTGGAAAGAGGCCCCCCCCCCCCCCCCCCATCTGGGCCTGTGCGTGGAGGGCGTGAGCATGGGCACGAGCTGGGGCCGCCTGCACGACCGCTGATAAGCGCTGTGCTTGCAGTCAGTCTCCCTGACCCCCCCCCACCACCACCCCCCTTTCTCCCCTCCCCCCTGACCCAGCGAGATAACGGATGACCACAATGCTGGAGAAATTCATGCTCCGTTTTTAACTCTTTGACGACCAGTGTTTTTGTGTGTGTTGTGTTGTGTTGCCCACCGGCTTGTTTACTAGACATCTTCCCCGGTTCTGTCATGTCACAGGGATGAAGTTAATCTCTGGTGGTGTGGGCACACGGGTTAACTCCCCATCGGGGGTCAAGAGGTGGGTCATGGTACTATGAAGTTTGTGCAATTAATGAAATATATCTGAGAAAAAAAGTGTCTTGCTGGTCAAGCAAGCAATGGGGCAGCGCTCGTCCCTACAGGTGGCCCTGAGTCGGTGTTGGGAATTCCACATTCCTATGATGAGAGGTGGGGGGGGGGCAGTCTAGATTAAGGAATTTGAATACGTGTGAGATTCATAAATTGGACCCCAATTGAAAGTTATTGGAAAATGATCTAACGTATAAATGGTCAAGATTACATATTTATTCAGTGGCATTTTTATTACGTGGTCACAAAAAAAAATTAACCCGTAAAAACAAAGTTTTTCACTATAAATCCTTTATATGCGTGGCGGCTAGAGTCCTCTCGTCCTCTGGCTTGAGATAGCTGCCACCTATAGGTCAGATGATTGCCTGCCACCATTAAGCAATTGGTAATTAAATATAAAAAAAATCCTAAAAAGTGTAAAGTTATGGAATTTTTTTTCACGAAAATAAATTGTCACGCACAACGAGTCTGTGTGCAAAATGTCAGCTCGATTGGATCACGGGAAGTGGGTTGAAAAACGACGGAAAGATTTGCACAGTCGTAAGCAAGCAAGCAAGTGAACTTAATATAAAGGATTTAAAAACCACACGCACACCACAGTGAAAGCCACACGGCATGAAAATTTCACTTATTTTGTAACTGGGGCTGTGTGTTGTTTTGAGCGGTAAAAGAGAGGAATCAAGGAGGCAAATTACGATTTTTTTTTGTCGACTGCGACGAAAAGAAACGCAGCTACCAAGTTGGGCAATACGACACGGGATTCTTGGAAATTGGCCGGCGTACGTCCGAGCTCCGACACGGTCGGTTATTATTCCGCGTCTCAAAAACCCCTTCGCCACCCTAAACCACTTTAATTGCCAGAGGCCGCAATCCACAACAACACCCACAGCGTTGATAATCTAGGCAAAAAAACATTTCCACGAACGCGTCACTGCCAAAACAAAACCTGTCTTGTTTATAGATTTCATTTGCTTCACTTGGATGTGCGCGGCAATTGCATTTCTCGAAAGTTTTATATATTTACGTGTTTTTTATATTTATATTCGCCAAAGAAACTTTAGCGATGAGCAGTGAGCGTTCTAAAGTGGGGCGGTATCGGCTGGCTCAGGGGGTTCGTCGGGCAGCGATGTGCGTGGCCGTTGGGATGGAAGGGAAGGCCCTGACCAAATATTAATTCTGGCAACCCCCCCCCCCCCCCCAACTTTCAATCTATAAAACCCGAGCGTGATGACATGAAGAGAGATGTAGCAGAAGAGATTGTTGAGAGAAGAGGAATGTCGACACGCCGTAGAGATGGAGTAAAAATGAGAGAATGCTGATTCAGACGAGAGATTAGGGCGATCCGCCGGCTCGGGTCAACGAGCGTGTTGTTGAAACCTCTCCCGAGCCAATCGGAGATGCTTGCTTTTGTTTGTTTGAATTTGGGCTGATAGATTTTACGCAAACCTATTTTTTTTCTCACGAATCCCAACCCCCCCCCTCCCTGCTCCCTTGGGACGCTTGGGTAGGGGACACATCGCTAACGTTTGACGCCGCCACGGGTCGCGAGAAGCGTCCCCTATTAGCCCCCCACCCCCCCGCTCTCAACCAACAACGCCACCGCGAGCGGGCCACTGTGGTCTAACGAACGCCCCCCACTATCGGGCGGCAGCCACACGTGGAGACCGGGGGTGGGGTGAGGGAAGAGCGTTGGCCTCTCCCCCGTGACACCACACCCACCACCGTCCCCATCTGCGCTCTAACCACCACCGCCAGCACCATCACCACCGCCACCACCACCATCACCACCGCCACCACCATCACCACCGCCACCACCAACACCGCCACCACCACCGCCGCTACCATCAACACCGCCGCTACCATCAACACCGCCACCACCACCGCCACCACCACCGCCACCATCACCACCGCCACCACCACCGCCACCACCACCGCCACCACCATCACCACTGCCACCACCACTGCCACCACCACCACTGCCACCACCATCACCACCACCACCACCACTGCCACAACCACCACCGTCACCGCCACCTTCCACACCTAAGTCCGCCAGTAACCAAGGATTTGGGGGTGTGGCGGGGAGGAAAATGTCTCTCAAGAACTTCTGAGAAATGTTCTTTTGTCGTTGGGGCCGTTGCAATTTTGCCGTTCGAATGCTCACATAAAGTCTCGCCCGGCATCCCACCCACCCACCCACTCGCCGCCCCCCTCCACCCCCAAGCCGTACGGACAGAGATGATAGAGCGGCAGGCCATGCTTTCGGCTGCATCATCAACAATATTAGTATTAATATTCACATATTTTATATATCGCCCGCACAACGTGATGTCATGGATCTCTAGCAGCAGTTGTTTTCGTCCAGTGGACCTCCAAATGACAGCAATGAGAGCTGACACCTGCTGATAATTTATGCACTTCAAAATCATCTCCAATGAAAACGCATTTCTGTAGAACTGCTCTTTTGTGTTTGGTGTGTTGCCCTTCCCCGTACCTCTCGATTGGTACGGTTGGCTACGTACGGTGCAAAATAAGTTTCGACGGCCATACATAAATGCACCCAATAAAATGTATACAAATTAAAGATGTTCAGCCTCTAATCAATCCACTGCTGCATGAAGGCTTTTGGCCTCCCACCAGTCCTGGTTTTCTCAGGATCGCCCCCCTGCCTGTTGGGGCAGACATCTATAGGTCTTCCTCCGACCTTAAGGGTCCCGGTTTGTGCCAAGTTGCGTAACAATTCACCACTCGAGGCACAGGCAATGATTCACAGACACACGCACCTCCGATTGGCACGGTTGGCTACGTATGGTGCGAAAGAAGTTGAACGCACGTGCATGTATCCCTTCCTCTGAGTGGAATTTAAGATCATGTTGCTCGCAGTTAAAGCTCCACTCTATATTCAGGAGCGAATTCAATCCTCTAAAAACCTATCTTTAAATTAAAAAAATCCGATTAAAAGTTCATTCCTCTATTTTGCCACGTGGATCATTCTTTTAGTATCGCTCCCTCTTCATTCATTGCGCCTCGATATTTGTTTGGTGTTAAGGCGCTTTATGAGTGTAAATTATTATTATTAATGAATGAATGAGTGTATGTCTCCCCACACCTTTCGGACATGAGGGCTGTTTGGCTGTGTCACCATACTTCTACACACCGGTGGTCAGCGTGGGTTGGCGAGAGGGGTGGCCAGAGATGGTCAAGATATCGCTTTTGCCGCAACATGGTGGCTATGACCGAGACTCAAACTCATGTGATTTTTGGTCCGTAGCGCAGCGCACCAACCCACCGTGCCGTCGCTCCGCCCAGCCGCAGCAAAGAGATGCTGAAAAAAAGAAATCACTCCCAGCTCGGGATAAACATGAAGCAGTCGAGGATCCATGCACCCACACTCGCTGACGAGTCAACATATCACCCAGTCTGGACTGCGGTCGTTCGTCAAAAATCGTCGTCTCGTACAGGACCCGACCGTCAACCTTCCACGCCACCAACGTGTCGACCATCAACCCAATCGGGACGGGGTCACGTGGCCGCAGCGGCCACCAGATGATGCCACAAACGGCGCGTCAAAGATTCGGCGGCCTGCAAGTGGTGCGGCCACGAATCGCAAACCATCGAGCGCATCGCAAACAAGCCGCGCCGCCGCCGCCGCCGCTGCTGCTGTGTTCACTCCCTTCAAGGAGGAACGGCTCGGCTCTCCAACACACCGGCGTAGTGACGAATTGGCCACGTGTTGTTTACGTGACAAACTTTACTAATTGGCTGTGTCGGGTGGTGGCGGGTTGAACGACGAATTTATCTATTTACGCGATCTAACGCAAAAAAAACACCTTTATTATGGATTATATTGTTCGCGTGTTAAACAAATCCACTCTGCTTCTCAAAATACAATTAAGTGAATAGCAACATCTAAAAATTGCATGTTTCATTTTCTGCTATTAATTCGTACGAAAGAAGAGTTTATACTCACAAGCGTCCGTTGTAGAGTGCCATTCATCCAGAATGCGTCGTCGAATGTCATCATGATGAGAGAGAGACGCAAACTCCAAATATACAACAAGCATTGTCAGGCTCGGGATCGAACCCACGACCTCCTGCATACCAGGTGAGGTAGTTAACTTATCACCACCGTGATGACTATGAGAGAGAGAGAGACACACAAACTACAAATATGCAACAGGCATTGTCAGTCTTAATTTTGAAGCTTTCGTGACTGCAGGAATTTATTATTTGGTTCTTTCGGTAAAGTCACGTATAAAGATAAAATAATAAATTAAATAATAGCATACGACGTTTCGATTGCAGCACAAGCAATCATCATCAGGTATAAATGAAATAGCAACAAAAAATCTAACCAGAAAACTATAGACAGACATATAAGCAGACAGATATCACCAAGATACATAGAGAGAGTAACACAGGTACAGAGAGGGGGATCG